AAGTCACAATGCTTTTAGATAATGAAACTGTTGTAATCACCACGTGCACCAAGTTACTTACTATCCAAATGCACCCAAATGGAGAAGTTCAGACAGAGCCCTGAAGATTCTCCAGCTAACAAAGGGATTCAGGCCTTTTTATATATAAAAGCAGTTGTCATTCATGACAGCTAGTTAATCAGAATTGTTTTCAGATTAATGATTACATTCCCAAAGAGATAAACATTAAACTGTTTGAAGTTCCAGTATCTTATAGGAAACATTGTGAAATAATGACCATGCAAGGATCATTCTAGGGTTACAATATGCAGAACAGGATGGTAACAAGTTTTATAAAACAGGTATAAATCAGATTTAATGTTTAATAAATATCCCAGCAAATAACATAATTTATGGTCTTGTGGATGTTCCAGTCTTCTAAATGACTACCTCTCAGTTATTGTCTTTACACCGTAAAGGGTTAATAAAGTCTGAGAAAATTTTGACAAGGTTCTATTGGCTAGAACTCAATGTGAAACTACAGAAATGTAGAAATCTCAAACCATAAAAGAGTTTAAACATTGCAAATTTTTATACCAAAGATGATGTGGCTTATAATTTTCTGCTCCCCTTCCTCCAAAGTCTGGTTTATAGGAAATTATCTTCCTCTAAGAGTGTATGACTTTGCCTTCCTTTATCTGAGGCACTCTGCTAGTGCTTTCATTTGTGTTACTAATACTAATGCCAACCATTCAAAGTTGAATAAATATTTCCATTTTAAGACTGAGAAAATGGAGCTCTTGTTAAACTGGTTTTTAAGTGACAAAGTTAGGTTCAGAATTAGGTTTCTTTGTTTCAAACCACGGGCTTTTCTACTGGGACAATTTAAGATTTACAAAATGTCATATGGATGATTTGATTAGTTTACACAGTGACTATTTGAAGACAGTGATATTCCACCTTTCCCACACCTTGATGCTAAGCTTCTTAAAAAGGATAGTCTAGAGTCCTCTATTTTCTCACTTGTTTACTCAAACCACTTCAGTCTTGTTGTCTATGCCACAGGGCCACCCAAACCACTCTAGCTGCTAGGTCCAGTAGGATATATTTTCAGCCTTTCATAACTTGCCCTGGTATTCAGTTGTTGATGTCCATGTCCCCTGCATTCTGTGATGACACTTTCTCTTCGTGCTCCTTTTCCCATTTTGTCCCTTCCTCAGTCTTCCTTGCAAAGTTTTCTTACTGCCCCTTAAGAGTTTTCTTTTGCAGGGTGGGGGAGGGTGGGGTTCTGTTCTATTCACTTTTCTAAAATGCACACTTTCTTTTTAATAATATTATTCACATTCATAGCTGGAGAAGTAATCAGAAGCCAAGTAATAAAGAGCCTTGTGTACAATAATGAGAAATTTGTTCTTTATTCTAAAGGCAAAAGGAAGCCATTGACAGATTTTTAGGAATGAAAGTAGTGATGTTGCTGATAGCAATTACAGAAGAAAGAGAAACATTAGGGGCATTCAGGTTTTGAGATAATATGACTGTGGTGTCTATGAGAAGACCAGTCAGTCATAGCCACAAAAAGGAAGTGAAAGAATATAGATCTGAGGCTGAGCAGAGGTTTTGACTAGAGCTGAAGAATAATTCCTCTAACTCGCCAAATTATGGCTCTACATTATCTGACCATTCAGCAACTGTTAGGACAGCCCAGAATTTGGTAGTTAGCATATAATAAATATATTTTAATTAGCTTTAAGACCCTTAAATAAGTTTGGGAACAAAAAGAGGAAAAATAAGGATGCTTTGCTGGATCAGTCAGAGAAGCATGCAATTCTTGATCTCAGGGTCATGAGTTCTAGCCCCACCTCAGGCATAGAGATTAGTAAAAGAAAAAAAAAAAAAAAGAGAGAGAGATAAACTTTAAAGAGAGAGAGAAAAAATAGCACTAAGACCAAAAGGAAATGTGAAAATATCATTTGCCTTTAGCTATTTTTTCTGAATCTAATACAGAGTCAGAGGTTTGGTTTTGGGGTACCAACTCTGCCTCTTTCTAGCAGTGTGATCTTGGACAAGATATTTAAATAAAGTGGTGGTAGTGATGGTCCTTTCAGCATTGACTCATTGACTAGTGTGGCTTGAGTGAGAACATGAATGCACCGTCTGACACACAGTAAAAGCCTCCAAGAGGGCAGGTATTTTAAAAATTATAATTTTTACAACCTAAAGTTTTTGAAATTAAGTCGTTCACTCTATCACAATTTTCAGTGACATCATGGTTTTCGTAGGTGCCAATATCAGAGTTATAGAATAAAATATTTAGGAGGGGGCTAAAATGAGGATGTTTGTCTGGACTACTAGTAGAAGAAAAGTTAACCGAACTCATCCTGGCTCTGTCACTACTTATGAACACAACTATCTAAAACATGGGAACATTGAACTAGGTGAACATCCAAGTGTCTTTAAGCTCAGAAATTACTCAAGCAATATCAGCAGTGATTTTATTCCCTACCACTATATCACTGTATGCATGGCCCTGAAGGTCTATAAAGATTAGAGTCTGGAGAATATAAACTATTTCTAGGCATGCCATTCCCCCTGCCACCCCAGAGAGCCAATGATAGTTATATACCAGCATATGTGTGATGGGGATGAGGGAGGGGACAGGAAAGAAGTCCTCTCCCTTCTGCCCCCTGCCATGGACCAAGTCCTGTGTTCTGTCTTCATTTCCCGAACAACTAGGAAAACTGTGCTACTGTTCCATCTTAGAAACAAGACCATTTAAATAATGAGTTGAAATAAAACCAATCTCTATAGCCCTGCTCTTTGCAATATAGGGCTTAGACTATTAGCAAAAAAAAAAAAAAAAAAAAAAAAAAAAATTAAATTAAATTTTTAGATTTTTTTTTTAAGCAAACTCTACCCCCAATGTGAGGCTCCAATTCATGACTCTGATACTACAGTCATGCTCTACCAACTAAGCCAACCAGACATCCCTAAAAGCAAGTAAGTTTAACTCAATACACACATGAGCACACCTACTGCACAGGCAAAAGCTTGAGTGTTACATGTCGCCTAAATCCTTACAGCACTGACATTGGTTGTCTGTCAACGTTGGTCTAATAGTCCTCTGCAAGTTGGGAATGTTAGCAGCTCATATGCTTTTACATTAGAGAGGTGCTGTGGGGAACAATTAAATGTCTGGAGCCTGCTAAGGGTTATTAAGTGCTAGCAATTCCCCTCTCAGGTAATAGTTTTTGAGCCATAAAAGGACAGTTAAATAAGCACTTCCATTTTAATATCATTTTCAAGAGATAAAAAGGAGTCTAAAATTCTATAATGTCTAAATTTAGTACTGCTGTTTGGGAGGCGAAGAAACTTTAGAGTCATGTGCCTTTTATAAAGGGATAATTGCCTGCTTCTAAACTTCTTCAGATAGAATTTTTATTGGGGTAAACTGTCAAAGCTTCACAATGAAGGAGATTCTCTTCCAGCGGGAAATGCACTCTTGCACAGGAAGTCTTGTTACCACTGCAGCCACGTTCCAGGGACAGTGCTTCTAAGAGACTTGGCTAATTTTTATTCATTTACTTTTCAAGCCTGAATTGTGGCAGGGGTTAGTCCCGTCACTGTCAAACCTGGAGAACCTCAGCTCCTCAGTTGACTGCCCCTTTGCTCTCCTGATTCAAAACCTCACCCTCTCAGCTCCCTTCTTCCTCTCACCACTGGACCATGTTCTTTTCTCTCCCATCTTAAAAAAACAAAAACCAAAATCCAAAGCCCCTTGGCCCCTGGGTTTCCATTGAACTGTCTTCCCCTTTTAAGGTCAATTTGTTGTTTGAAATCTTTTCTTTTTAAACCTTTTTACTTCCCACTCACTTTAAACACACGTGATCACATTTCTGCCACCTTCTCCCGTGTCCCTTCCACCAATAAACTCCACTGGAAGTTTTTTCACTGTGTTGCCAGATAACTACTTAGTTGCTGCATCTTATGGACACTTTACTGTAATGGATTCTTTGTCCAGTTCCTCCCTCCAACTATATTCTCTGTGAAGTAAGGGACTATGTTTCTTTTACTTCTCAACCTCATTGCTTGGAATATCTTGGGTGCTGAGCACATGATTGAACAAGCATATGCATCCAGAATATCCTGGGCAGAGCTTATATTTAGCCATGTAACCATACAAAATATGAACCTATGGGCTCTTGGGGATCTAGGGAGAAAATGGCTAGAAAGTTCACCACCTGGTCTCATAGGAGGAAAAGAATACAGAATATTTTAATTTTTAAATAAATAAACAAACATTAAATATTTTAATATTAAATTTAATAAAACATTTTTAATTTTGGATCAATGATGGGCTTTTTTTTAAACAGGCAGGAAATTGACTTTTTTTGAGAGAGAGAGAGAGAGAGAGAGAGAGAGAGAGAGAGAGAAAGAGAGGATCTTAAGCAAGCTCCACACCCAACATGGATCCCAAGGTGGGGCTCAGTCTCTTGCCTGTGATATCATGACCTGAGCCAAAATCAAGACCACTGGCCACTTAACTGACTGAGCCACCCAGGCACCCCTCAATGATGGGCTTTACTACAGATTTAAATAGTCAGTTTTTAAGATAGAGTGAAATGCTCCAGGTCTGTGTTCCTCAACTTTTTAAGACCATAGCCCACTCTGAGAAACCACACAATTTCACACTCACCCTCATACCACGTTCACCAATTACATACAATGTAGGGGTCATTTTCTGCAAATTTCCACCAGCCTAGGTTTTATTTAGCTTTAGTTAGTTATTACAACATTGATTTTCAAACTATGATATCCCAGAGAGTCAGATATTTTACCCCATTCACATCTCTCAAACCCCAAAGTTTAAAATAAGAAGAGACTCCTATATTTCCTTAATGAAAAAGTATATGCCTGAACTATATTTTGTTTATTTATTTATTATTATTTTTTTATATATATATATTTTTTACTGGTGGTATGCTGCTTATTCTCATGCAATTGATTTCTTTCTTCTAAACCAGGTGCAGTTACATGATAGACAATGTGATTCTATTGATGAACGGTGCATTGCAAAAAAAATCTGTGAAAGAAATTCTGGTGAAGTGCCACCCACTGGGCCGTTTCACAGAAATGGAAGCAGTCAACATTGCTGAGACACCTTCGGACCTCTTCAATGCTGTTCTGGTTGAAACACCATTAGGTACAAATGCATAAGCAGTTGTATAGCTGCGTGTGCACATCATCATAGTCAGTAAAAAATGCACATTCAATTCATCGTTTTCTCCATGAATATAATATCATACTATACAGATTCATAGACATGGAAGGGACATTAAGGAATCATCTAGTTCAGCTCCCTCATTTTTCAGATGGCAACAAATGAAAGTAACCTTCCTAGAGTCACATAAGATCCATTTGTAGCCCAGTAGGAGCTGGGGCTACCTCTCGACCTCCACATCTTTGTACTTTGTACCAGATCATAGTAAATAAATGATAGAACTTGTCATTTTTCAAAAAATTAATTTTCTAACTGGGTTCTATATGATTAATTCCTTATCCTTTCCTTTTAAATTTCTGTCTAAATAAGGCTGTGTACATTTTGTTTAGAAAGTTTAGGAATGCCATTTTTCTGAGACGCTCAGGGGTGCCTGTCAAATGACCTGAAGCAATGAGGAAACAAATGCTAATTTCATTATAATGTAGCACTGATAATAGTTCTAGCATTCAAAATGCTAATGGGATAATTTTATATACATTATTGTCAGGAAACCTGGATAGTAGCAGTTCATAGCAATTCACTGTAGATCATTTGTCAAAATAGTTGCTGTTGAAAACAGAAATTTTAAAAAGAAAAAAAAATGGTGTCATTAAATGTGTGGTGCTAAGGGAGTGTGAAAGAAAGAGGGTAAGCCTATAATCATGGATGTTTGATTCTAGGCTCTGTCTGGTCCCAACATGGTGACTTGGGGCAATTCAGTGCATCTCAGTTTCCTCATTTTAAAAACAATAATGGGGCGCCTGGGTGGCTCAGTCGGTTAAGCGTCCAACTTCGGCTCAGGTCATGATCTCACGGTTCGTGAGTTCGAGCCCCGCGTCAGGCTCTGTGTTGACAGCTCAGAGCCTGGAGCCCATTTCAGATTCTGTGTCTTCCTCTCTCTCTGCCCCTCCCCTGTTCATGCTCTCTCTCTCTGTCTCAAAAATAAATAAACGTTAAAAAAAATTAAAAAAAAATAAAATAAAAACAATAGTATCTTAGTATAACAGAGTTTTGAAAACTAAATATGACACAGTTTTAGCACAGCTTAATCCTTAGCATATAGTGAGGTTGGAAGTGATAAATATTATGATTAGATGAGGGGTAGGGGCACTTCAAAAAGTAAGGCATAAAGTGAACAGGTCCAAGGTGTTGTGAGGATCAAATACATGCAATGTTTAGTGAACAGCTTGCACAGAGTAAATGCTAAGTAACTAATCACTCTCACTGTCACCATTACTGGTAGCTTTATCCAGTCTGTGGATTGCCACTCCACAGTGTCCTGGTCAGGAATGAGCACAGGATGGTATGTGCAGGAAATCTTTCCATAGTTGATAATCATGCTTTTGATGAATTTATTTTGTGTGATCATTTCCACTTTCAGCTCCATTCTTTCAAGACTGCATGTCTGAAAATACCCTAGATGAACTGAATATTGAATTACTGCGCAATAAACTGTACAAGGTAAGTGTCTCCCAAAATATTATGGTTTTCTTTTTTGCATAATACATCTTAACCAGAGTTCTTTATCGAAAGTTACTTTGCCCATTAGCCAATTTCTGCAATTATGAAGCTATACATGGTTGGAATACAGCTTTTACAGTCTTGGTCTTTTGGTTAAATACATACACGTCAGCTTCCCCTGAAGCAGCAAGATTGTTGAGAGGAAGTAATGCGCCCATCTTTCTCTGTATTCCTAGCTCCTTGCCTGGTGTGCCTAGAGCATAAAAGGTAGCAGCTGGATGGGTGAATGGTAGGTGGGTGGATAGATGAGCAAGATGAACCATATCCATTTTAAAACAACCAGCATATAGGGGTGCCTGGCTGGCTCAGTCAATAGAGCATGCAACTCTTGATCTCAGGGTTGTAGGTTCGAGCCCCGTGTTGGATGTAGAGACTACTTAAAAATAAAATCTTTAGGGGTGCCTCGGTGGCTCAGTCAGTTAAGTGACCGACTTCGGGTCAGGTCATGATCTCACAGTTCGTGAGTTCAAACCTCGCGTCGGACTCTGTGCTGACAGCTCTGAGCCTGGAAACTACTTTGGATTCTGTGTCTCCCTCTCTCTGTACCCCACCCCCACTCATGCTCTGTCTCTCTGTCAAAAATAAATAAAGATTAAGAAAAACTTAAAAAAATAAAATCTTTTAAAAAATTAAAAAAAAAAAAAAACACAAAACCCAGCATACACAGTGAGCTTTGTGTCATGTAGCATCCATCTCTATCCTTAATTCTATTATAGAGTCTTTGAGTTTCACAGTTAACCTGTCCATTTACTGACAGTGTGCAGCATACGAAGATGACCAACTCGTGGACACTGCAACATAGGTACCACCTTGCATGATCTGGCCAGCTATCTGCCTATGCTGCCACCATTTGAGTAGCTCTATGTCATATGCACTGAGCAAACTCTGTCCATTTACACTCATACAACAATAGCATCTTTAGACAGACACTCTCACAGAGTAACTGAAGGAATATATACTGTCATGCCATTTACATAACTGGTTATGCTAAAACATAAGGTCCTTTCAGAAGCATTGTGTTGCAGGCAATTTTCCTCTTTATAAAGAAACTTATGGACTTAGAGCAGCCATCTTTGAGATATAGCTAACAGAAGGCACTGTTTTAAGTAAGTTATAGGCATTAATTCACTTAATCCACACAGCAAAACTATGTGCTATCCCCATTCCTTGGATGAGAAAACTGAGACATGGAGAGGTAAGATTTACTTGGCAGAAGTCAGTTAAATGGTAAGTGATTGAGTTGGGATTCAAACACAGTCAGTCTAACTGTACAGCCCAGACTCTGCCTTTCCAGCGTGTCTTCCATGTTCAAAGCCATCCCAAACGTGTCTCCTGAGCACCAAGAGAGATTAAATGTCGGCACAGGACCAAATCTAGAATTATTTGTTGAGCTCATAAAAGAGTTTGGCACTCTTATTAGAGTACCAAACATTAATCATGTGAAATAAACCCAAGAACCATGCAAAAAAAAAGTGCTTGTTAAGGAATCATAAGGTATGATAAGTACAATTTTGTTCTTTTTTAAAGCTGTGCAACATACTTCATTGTGAAAGTTTGTACCAAATTTTTAATAAAATATCGCCCTATGGGACAAGTAATTCAATCTCCATTAAAGTATTTAATAAGCCATGAAAAGCTGATCTACAAATTTCCAAAGGAAAATATCTTCATTTTATTGTTTTATGATCTTTCTTCTTTTTAAGTCTTACCTCGAGGCATTCTATAAATTCTGTAAGAATCATGGTGATGTCACAGCAGAAATCATGTGTCCCATTCTTGAGGTAAGAAAGTCCTTGAATTTCTTTATGCCAAATAATATGCTTACACACTTTTCACTTGCATAGTCCTACTTATCTTTCTTTATCTTAGAAGCTCCTTTATATAAAAATAAAATAAACAACATATTTTATCATATATATCATTTGATGCTTTCAGTTAAGAATGGTATTTTGCAAGTTTTCTACATTGAAAAGTTATTTTGGAATTAGAAAAGAAAAATGCTTACAAAATTTGGTCATGATTCATTTTTATGTGGTATGAATAGATTATAATTAGTTAAAAATTTGGTATACTATTAACAATTGGTGAAATACGAGTACTTGTAATAATCACTCAACTTCCCTCCAATGAGGGAACACTGGGCATCTGGGAATTCTCACAACTTGGAACCAAAGTCCACTCTGGGCCTTGTTCCTTATATAAATCCTAAAATAAAGGAAACTCAAACAACCCTCGGGCATTCCAGCTCTGGTTAGGAAGACTTTTGGGGTTAGGTGATTCACAGTTGGCATGCTCACTTAATTATCTGTCAAATGCCACCATTGCTTTCTACCTCTCTAATTGATGCTATAAACTTCTTAATTTCCCTTTCTCATCACAGATTTCATCTGTGCTCAGAGATCCTCCTGTTCGCACATGTTGATCTCAGAGATCAGAAGGATCTGGGAACATGCTGGGCATATTTTGTACTGTGTTTCCTATAGATCTCTTTTTCTGGCTTCACATGAATAACAAAATGGTGGAGGAGGGAGGCGGGTACCATTCTAGACTTAGAAAAGCCCTTTGCTTTGTCCTGTGAAACTAAGTTTTGTCTAAAGAATATCTTTAATCATTAGATTATCTGTCACAGTGACTTCGTTGGTAGGTAGATTAAATAGTTCAATAACCTGATTTCAAGAAAAGCCTGGTAATGGGGCACCTGGGTGGCTCAGTTAGTTGGGCGTCCAACTTCGGGTCAGGTCATGATCTTGCAGTTCATCAGTTTGAACCATGCGTTGGGCTCTGTGCTGACAGCTCAGAGCCTGGAGCCTGCTTTGAATTCTGTGTCTTCCTCTTTTTCTGCTCCTCCCCCACTCCTGCTCTCTGTCTCTCTCTCTCTCTTTCTCAAAAATAAGCATTAAATTTTTTTAAAAAAACATTAAAAGAAAGAAAGAAAGGAAAGAAAGGAAAGAAAGAAAGAAAGAAAGAGAGAAAGGCCTGGTAAGAACTGCCCCATAGCAAAAAAAGGAAAAAACAAAAAACTTGAATAACTTCATCTGCATGTATTTTAACCTAATGTTCTGAAACTGCATATGATAAAATTAGTTCCCCTTAAAACATTTAATCTTTAAAATTTTACAGTTGAAGATACTTTGCTATCCCCTGTTGAAACTCTTCAAGCAAAAGCATTCCTGAAGTAAAAATTTATCACTGGAGAACTCCAAAAATTCTTTTTTGCCTTTATCTATATTACACAGGAAGTGGGCACTGATAAATAAATAACATTTTTTTATGGCATACTAAATGTCAGAAAGTGAGCTAGTCTCTTTCAGACATTCTGAACATAAGTAATCTGCTGGCCCTAAGAAGCACTCCCTTTTCTTGTCATAAATTTTTAACTACTAGCCACACTATAAGAAGCCACATTATCCATGGCTCAAAAGTGTAATTTCAACATGGCATAATTCCTGTGGTTTAGAAATGGCTTGTGTGCTTTATACCCACAAACTATGTGCAATAAGAGCTCTGGCAAAACTCAGAACATTTCAAGAGGCATACAATGACATTATCAATAGTTAACATGTATTATGTGCCAGATGCTATCCTAAGAGCTTAATGTACATGAATTCACTTGGACTTCAAAACAGCACAACAACAACAAGATGGGAGTTTAGCATCTATTTTTCAGAAGGGGAAACTGAGGCACAAAGAAGCTAGTAACTTGCCTGATGACACACACCTAAGAAGTGGAAATGTCAGAATTTGAACTCAGGCAGCCTCTCTCTGGTTCCTCTATGTTCATCCACTATTTTACTTATACATTAAAGTTAGCATTCACAATTCTTGTATAAAAGTAAGTACTAATTCATAAGCAAGATCATACTGCATGTGGTATAAAAATCAAAAATAGATAAGAATTATGTCTCTGTAATCCTCAGTAATGCAGAAAGGACAGCATAGTAGTAGAAGAATCCTTGTCACTGGAAGGGTTTGATCAAAATACTATATAATACCCAGTGTTCTCATTATCCCTTTCCTATACCCATGATACTACCATATTAGATTAGGTTCTTTTTTAAGCTGCGTTAAGAATAAAAGTCCGCTTGAGCCACCTGGGTGGTTTAGTGGGTTAAGTGTCTGACTTCAGCTCAGGTTGTGATCTCGCGGTTCGTGAGTTGAGCCCCACGTTGGGCTCTGTGCTGACAGCTCAGAGCCTAGAGTCTGCTTCAGATTCTGTGTCTCCCTCTCTCTCTGACTTCCCCCTGCTCACACTTTGTCTCTCTCTCTCTGTCTCTCAAAAATAAATAAACATTAAAGAAATTTTTTTAATTAAATATAAAAAAATAAAAGTCCACTCAACTACCTTTATACATTACACTGAAGTATTAGTTACACAGAGCATGCAATTATAATGTGTCTAATGATATGATCAGAAGAGATTTTTCAGATTTATATAATTATATCAGATCATGTAATTACCTCTCATTTTATTCGTGCAACATTAGAGCACCTCAGTTATCACATTCTTCCATCTATGTTCTTATTTAATCTGGGTTGACAGGAGACTGAAAAAGACTTAATATGGTGAAAGAGAGCATTAACCTGGACTTGCATGCAAACATTTGACCTAATTACAAGCTTGTGAGTTCCTATGGGAAAAAAAAAAAAAAAGAAATTGACTTATGGTCAAGGGAAATACACTGCAATGTACTGTTTGCCTTTATGCCTTTTATTATTTGTCTTTGCTCTCCTGACAATCTATATGTTTAATGAAACAGTGAAAAACAAGCACAGATGAATAAGTTTGTTTCATCTTCCCTGGTTGGTACACATGCTAATGAGGCCGGGCTTGATTCCAGTTCACTCTTCCATTGTCGTTGACTCTTCCACCCACTGCCCCCACAAGGTATTCCTTTCCTCGAATGATGAACCGGCAAAAATGTGTGATCAGCCCAACTCCATCATGTGCAAGTGATAATGACTTTGAATAAGTCAACAGTACACTTAGTTTTTGCAACAACAACAAAAAATAAGTTATGGTTTTAAAATGAATGAGCATAAGGAAGGGTGAAAGGACATAGGACATCTGGCATCCTCTATGCCACACAGGATGCCAGCCCTCTAAAAATGACAGAGAGGGCTTAAGTGAAATCTAATACCACCCCATTTACTCTTCCATAATCAGATGTTGTGTCAAACTGTCTGCTTAGGGATGGTCAAACACAGGATAGCCCTTTTACAATTTCAAGATTATAGTCCTTTTCACTAAGAAAACACACCCTCACACACAAAGAACCTCTAGATTAGAAAAGGGTGCTGAGGTAAATATACAGACTGTTATAATAAAAGGGAAACTGAAGTATAATAAGGAGTCAAAGGAAATCATACCCAATTGGGAAGGAAATAGAAGGACTTCTTGTAAAATAAAAAAAATAAAATAAAATAAAAGCCATTTAATGGGACCCTTCAATGTAGGTAAGATTTCAACATGGAGAGTTCTGGAATGAAGTACACACATTGTAGGCAGAGGGAAGAAGTATTTACAAGAACAAGAAGTTGGAATGTGTGTGGTGTTTCAGATAACCAATTGTATCAGCCAAAGTCCTCTCCTGGCATGGCATGCAAAGCCTTTCCTGTTCTCTTCCTAGCTACCTGTCCAGCCTTCTTCTTCTTCTTCAACTGCTTTCCCAGTGCCTGAGCCATGACCATTCCTCCACAATGTCATGCTTTAACTTCACGCGGCGTCCTCCTCCAGAACGGCCTCTGCTGCCGGGCCGTCTGCAGTTCTGCTGCCCCACCCTACTTCTCTCTGGAAAATCCCAACATCTTACACAGCAATGCATGTCAATTATTTCTCAATAAAAGTGGGGGGAAACAGGAATAAAAACCAACATCTTAGAGCTAGGAAGCACCTTGAAGGGCATGTGGGACAATTGGCTCTATTGTTGCTCCTCCTGCTCTAATTTTTATTTCAAAGTTTCTTATTGCCATGAAATCTCCCTCTTACATTTCTTCTCCTGTCCCTGGAAGGTCTAAACTTACTGCTAGGACTGGTGACATTCAGAGGCCAGAGGCAGCTGCCTTTGCTTCCAAATGAGGCCACTCCCTGCTTCTGGGTCACCCACGCTTTCCATGAGATCAATCAAAAGGATCAGAAGGAACTAAAGCTCACCCTCTTGATAGGAAACACCTGTTCTAACAGAAGAGTTCCAGCAAAATCTGTTGCAAGTCTAGATTCGTTAATTAGTCAAAAGTACGCTGATCAAAGGCTATTGCGGAGCAATTTATTTCAGCTATTGTGTTCGTTCAAATAACCTTGGGATACTGTTAAAATGTAAGCCCTGGATCAGGAGGGCTGGACTATGGCCTGAGACTCTGCATTTCTAACAAGCTTCCAAGTGACATCAAAGCTACTGAACCATGAAACACACCTTGAGTAGCAACATTGTAGAGAATATTATAGAAATTTGAAAATAAGAGACTCACAGACCATCCTGTTGGATTCAATGATTCAATGAAGATTCATTGAAGATTCAATGATCTTCTTATGCACTTCCAGGCACTGGATATTAAAAATAAAAAATAAAAAGAGTGACATGATTTCCCTCAAAGATTTTACAGTGGAGTAGGAGAGAAAGAATTTCCAGATTTTAAAAGAATGCAAGTGCAGGGTGTTTCAGGAATGTAGAGTTTTGTAGCTCAAGGATGCTATAATAAACTCCCATGATAAGCAGAGAGGATCCCAGAAAGGACAGACTGAGATGGAATGGTCAGAAGAGGTAGGAAAAGAACCAAGAGATAGAAGAAACATGGAGACCAAAGGGATAGTAAGAAATTTCAAGAAAAACAGAGTGGTTACAGGAAATAGGCTTGACTTGGAGCTGTTTGCTCAGTTGCCTAGTGGTGCTGAGCACAAAGGCAGGCCATGAGCATACGTGACCCAACTGAAAGATCATGAGGTCAAACCCTATCATCTTACAAGTGAGAAAACTGAGGCCAGAGAGAAAGGTAACTTGTCCTGGGCCATGTAATTCTTAGCTACTGAGTTAGATTTATTGATGTCCAACCTAGGACTTTAAAGAAGAAAACCAAAACTATTAAAGAGCAAACAAATGGTGGGGTGCCTGGGTGGCTCATCGGTTAAGCATCTGACTCTTGATTTCGGCTCAGGTCATGATCTCACTGTGTATGAGATCGAGCCCCTATCTGGCTCTGCACTGACAGCACAGAGCCTGCTTGGGATTCTCTCTCCCTCCTTCTCTCTCTGCCCCTTCCCCGCTCACATTCTCCCTCTCTCTCTCTCTCTTTCTCTCTCTTTCAAAATAAATAAAACATTTTTAAAAAGTATAAACAAATGGCATATAGCATAAAGTTTCATTATGTAAAAAATCCTACTGACATCAATAACCAGAAAGAGATGTTAATATTTATTTCGTGCACTTTTTGCTCCAAATACCCCCCAGGCACTTCCATTTACATTATCTTGTCCTATTCTTGAACAGACCCCAACAAGTAGGTTTATTCCCATTTTCATGGAAGAGATATTTTAGACTCTAGTGGCCTATGTGACAGAGACACATGAGTAACTAATTGCAGAGTTCCTGGGAACTAAAGTTTAGTGGGGTTTCAAGAGTCCTAACCTATTATCACTAGGTGATCCTTTTCTGGGAAGCAAAATTACTCCATTGAGACTAAGGGAATATTAATAACACATATTTGTATTAAAATTAGACATAAATCCAAAAAAGAGAGCAAATCACTCTGGACATAAATTTGTCTACTTAGGGTTCTGTTTACAGCAGTTAGTACATGGTTAGATTTTGCTGATACTATGTCTTTGCAAATTCAGTTTGAGGCTGACAGACGTGCTTTTATCATCACTCTTAACTCCTTTGGCACTGAACTGAGCAAAGACGACCGGGAGACCCTCTACCCGACCTGTGGCAAGCTGTACCCTGAGGGGCTGCGCCTGTTGGCTCAAGCAGAAGACTTCGATCAGATGAGGAGAGTAGCAGACCATTATGGAGTACGTGACCACACTGGGGACCCTGAAAGCCTCATGCTATTTCATCACGTGTACTTTAGAAGTTCACACATCAAAATTACACATCTTATCTAGAGCAGTTATAATGTTTGTAAGGTAGAAAGCAATGTCATTCTGTAACTGTGTCTCCCAAAGAAATACTTGAAGTTTCTAACCCATACTAGTGTTTTTTTTTTGTTTTTTGTTTTTTTTTTTTGAGGTCCCTGCCAAGCAAGTACTTGTTTAAATCTCCAAGGAGCAGTCATTTGAGCACTTTATTTGAAGTGCTTGATAAAGCAAGTTCCCCAAGGGACTGGTGTAGTGTTCTGGATATGTGAGCTCATGTCAAAGTTATATAAAATAGCCTGACCCAGTAGTCCTTTCAAGTGCCCATTGGGGAAACAGGCTCAGGTACAGAATGTCTACCGAAAATACAAGGGAGAATATGGACATATTGGTTTATACCTTTTCAGTGGCCAGAAATAGGCACTGCAATGAAGGCTGCTATGTCCTGCCCTTAATCCACATCCAGGTTCTACACCTCATCCCCAGATCCCATTCTTTCTGATTTACAGAAACATGATTTCCTCCAGGTAACTTTTCCAGAACTGGATTGACACTCTTATCTTTTCCTATGGGTTTCTGAAGACTTCCAGAAAAGAGAAGCCAGTAAACTGCATAAAACTTTGTAGTATCTCATGTCATTGCAAGAAGCTTTTGAGCATAATATTAAATTTTGAACGTTTCCCCAATCTCCACCCCTTCCACACCTGAAATTCCATGTGAAGTTTATCAACTGCCATGCCAAAGAACCCATGAACCTGTGATGGTTAAACCTCAAGCATTCATTTAGCCTCTATAATGTGCCCACTAGCCCTAAGAACTGAATGTAGAAAATAGCTCATCTAATGTACATTGAGAGTACAATTGCTTTTGCTGCTTCTTCTAAAGACCTGAATAAGCCAATGGCTAGAATTCCATCCATACTTTTTTATCTGGATTTTTGGGGTATTTTTTCAGGAGGCCAAAATCCTACAAAAAACCATTCAGCTCTTCTGGATAGATTTTTTAGAACAGACAGATACATCATTTTCTATATAGCCAGGAAAATATCCTCATATATAAGAAATGAGAATTCGTTTAAAATAATCTTTTTGTTTTTTAGGTATATAAGCCTTTGTTTGAGGCTGTGGGTGATGGCAGTGGAGGAAAGACGTTGGAGGATGTGTTTTATGAGCGTGAGGTATGATATAAATGGAAATGCTATTAGTTTATGTTCTCTTTTTCTCTTGCTCTGGGATTTAGATGTTTTCTTACTTCGGATTTTCTTTTTGTGTGTGGCGGGTCTTTTTACAGTTGATCAGTTCACTTGATTAAACACATTCACAATTTGATGGCCAAATGAGTATTAGCATCCCTGGAAGGCCAATGGTTTTCATATGATGGCTTCCTGTGCAATTGTCCTACCCAGAAACACATAGTGTGCGTAGTGATGCTCTGCAAGGAAAGCAGCAATTCCATAATTCACCAGAGAATCAGAGCTAGGACATTCCCATGATCATATATTGACTATCCTCATGCTGTACACTCTGTTAAGTGCATCTTTTTTTTTTTTTTCCAACGTTTATTTTTTTATTTTTGGGACAGAGAGAAACAGAGCATGAACGGGGGAGGGGCAGAGAGAGAGGGAGACACAGAATCGGAAACAGGCTCCAGGCTCTGAGCCATCAGCCCAGAGCCCGACGCGGGGCTCGAACTCACCGACCGCGAGATCGTGACCTGGCTGAAGTCGGACGCTTAACAGACTGCGCCACCCAGGCGCCCCTGTTAAGTGCATCTTACTCTCTGATCCATTCCTTCTTCAAGAAGGATTTGTCTACGGTTATAATATAGCTTATGAACACAATTGCAACACTTACTAATTATTTGTATAGAAATCCATCCAGAGAGTATAGATGATTCTCTTTCCTAAAAAGCAGAACACTTAATCCATTCATAGTCAATTCCTGGGCTACTAAACCATTCAACAAAAAGGCCTTTTTTTGAGGGGGATAATAAGGTCTCCCAAATTTAGACAGTTTTTCTGGTATATTCTATTCATTTCTCTAAAACCACTGGCTCTTCCCTTTTAATTGATTGACAGAGAACCCTGAAATCTATCCAAATTTTAGGGTAAGACTGGCTCCACAAAGCAGTACGGGACCCTTCCTATAAGTCCTACTGTACACATTTCCCAACAGCTCTCTAGTGCCTGTCACAGAAAAAAGTAAAAACAATGCAAGTTATCCCATATCTTAGGGATATTTTTAAAATTCCACACTATTGCACAAGTGCTTCAAAGAAAGCTGTTAAGAAAGCTGCCCTTGGCAGGAAAATTAAGTGTCTGTTCCTGCAAGCAAGGACGTCCACTTCCTGAATACTTGGCTTGAGGTTTTCAGAGCTGCACGAGGGACTCAGTACCTCTCATCCTTTTTTTTCAAAATGGAAAAGAATAAAAGAATTATTCCATTTCAGACTTCACCCCAGTTAAACAAATTTTCTTTGAAAATTTTCTTTTACCAATCTACCTTCTACAGAAACAAAACAAAACAATTCAACCATATGTCTTGTTGCTGCAGAGCATCTTAAGAAAGCTCATAATGTCACTCATTCCAAATCCCAGGGGCCTGTGACATTGCCATGGAGGAGAGTTAGATAGCCTACAAACCTTTTTAAAATGTTCAAAGTTGTGGCCAAGGAAAAGTAGTTTACCTAAGTGAAACAAGCCTCTGGCTAAAAGCCAACTATATTACTACAAAGTTCCACACAAACACCAAGATTTTCATTATCTTTTGTGGTAGCAGTGCTGCTCAGATTTGGAGTTCGTCTTGCGATTCTAGAAACCTACTTTGTATTTATTTATTTATATTTATTTATTTATATAAACTTGCCTTTGTAAAACTACTATTGTCTATCTTCATCTATAAAGTGACATTAATGCTCCCTTTAGAACTTGATGGGTTGGGTTGTTACTGTTTTCTTCTATTTGACCCATTTTGGACATTGCCTATTTAAATACAAATAAGCACCGCACAAACACAAGTTAGTCTGTAGCTTAATGTTACTTCATAAATGTAGTATGCTCCCAAGAAGTGATGGTCCGTATTTTTTTTTTCTTTCCTTAGGTACAAATGAATGTGCTGGCATTCAACAGGCAATTCCACTATGGTGTGTTTTATGCATACACAAAGCTGAAGGAACAAGAAATGAGAAATATCGTGTGGATAGCAGAATGCATTTCACAAAGACATCGAACTAAAATTAACAGTTACATTCCAATTTTATAACCCAGTGAGGGACCTCACATGTGGAAAATCTTACATAGTAAGAAGAGGTTCTGAGGAGAAAAAAAAGAATTGTGTTATATTATCTGGGTTATATAAAAATAATCCACACCATTGCAGACCCACTAGAAACATAGTAAATCAGCCCTGAAATAGTATTTCTTTTTTTTTCCAGCGGCCTTAAATTTTGTTTCCCCATTTATGTCTCACTTTTTACCAATCTTAGACATTAATCCTAATTAACCTATAGTACTTTTCCTATTCTTGTTTGGTTGTATTAACAATCAGATCTAACTAAAGTGTTTTACTCTTGCTTTCCTATGCTTCTCCACAGGCCCAAGTACTGTCTGCTTTTCTTTTTCCTCCCCTATGTCCACAAAAATCCAGGGCTATATGAGGCCAACATGGACCACATGTGATGAAAATATTGTATTTTTTTTCCCAATACACTTTTACTGGTTGTCTTGGGAAAGCTACACAATTCTGAATCATATTCCTTAGATGCAAGTAGTATTAAATTTGTTATTAAGGCTCCTGTTTAAACTTTCCTCACAATTCCCTTTAAATCTCTTGCAGTTCCTTCATGCTTTGCCTGAGAAGAAAGTAACCCTGCTAAATTGTATTTCATTCATTCAGAAGAATAAATCCCACATTTCAGTTTACAAGATATGGACTTTTTATAGAATTTCTTTAGAATTTCTACCCAGGAAAGGAAAAATCAACAAACACTGGTCAAGTTCTTTCTTTAAAAATAACAGATTCCTAAGTAGAAAATCTGTATTTACTATATTTTAAAATATAAACATATAGGGACGCCTAGGTGGCTCAGTCAGTTAAGTGTCCAACTTCGGCTCAGGTCATGATCTTGCAGGTTGTGGGTTTGAGCCCCAGATCAGGCCCTATGCTGACATCTCAGAGCCTGGAGTCTGCTTCAGATTCTGTGTCTCCCTCTCTCTCTGCCCCTCCCCCACTTGCGCACGCTCTCTCTCTCTCTCTCTCAAAAATAAATAAACATTAAAAAAATTATATATATATATATATATATATATATATATATATATATATATATGAAACTCTTTGAGTGTATTTACAGAGAATCTACATATACTTGTATCTAAAATTAGGCACCTGGACCAAGGAGTAAATTTATTTTTCTGCCAAATCCAACTTTTTCATAGAATATTTTGGTAATTTTATTAATAGAGATTTTTAAGCATAAGGAAAAGCAGTGGTTCAGATTCCTGAAAGGAAAGTCAAATACCTAGATTTCCCAGTGCAAAAAGCCTAGCTCATACCCATGTCATGGTGGCTAAAGTCCAGTGCCTTGTAAAGGGCTCCACTGCAGACTTGTCAGCTGGCCCCAAAGAGCCTGGTTCCCACATGTGGCCTCTGGTCTGGGAAGCATCCTCCCTGACTTGCTCCTGGCCGTGCATGAGTTTCCTGGACCAGGAAACGCCTATATTTTACATTTTAATCTATGGTATCTGCAGTGGGAAGGTCTAAGGTTTCAAGCTGAGAGCAAAGATGATAATAGGAAAGAGGCAGCTTAGAGAAAGTTACTGTGAGAGGATTCTCAGCCCAACCCTTGCCCACTCACCTCTGCATGGTATGTATGGGGGGCCCTAAAATGGGCCATAATGCAACAGGCTGAAGTTATCCAAAGGGCCGCAAGTCCCTTTCCTTCTACACAAATGAATGGCTCCAATTCCCCAAGCCCCTTCCCCAGTCAAGTGTAACCATTGTGTGACTATAAGAGCAAGGAACTTCCCTACAACCCTGTGAGGCAAATGGAACATGCCCCCATTAGGAAGATACACACGCTGCAATGAAGAACTTGCCTTGAAACAAAGCAAAACAAAACCAAAACTATGAAGAACTTGCCTTGGATTTTAATAGCTTTCAGGTGTCTGAGCTGGGATCTGACTTCTCTGTCATGCCCTAGGAAACTGGTCTACAGTGGAGATCATGGACCTTTGAAAAGCATTTTATCTTATGTGAAATGAGGCCAAAAGTCAATTATATATGCAGTGTAGAAAACAGTGAGGCTAAAAGCCTTTTTCTAAGCAATTGAGACTCCTTACCATCCCTTTCCCACATTCTTCCCAGCAGTATTTCATCAATTGCTCTGATTTCCACCTCTATAGTCTGCTGCATGGCTGGTCTTGGAACACTATTCTAATGAATTCTATACCCAGAACTGCATGCAGTCTATAGCAGTCCTGCCTATACCCTAGTGTAGACTTCTGTCCATTCTTTACCCTTTTGTGTCACCCCTCCCTCTAGCCTTGCTCCCGTTTCCTTTTGTATCAGTTCACATGCCCTTCTTTATCAGTCTACCCGTGGACAGGAACTAAGTCTCTAATGAGGTTTTGAAGTTGGGAGAATTTGCGGTGCTCTATGGGATTCAAAATAGCAGTTGCAATTCTCAGGATATTTAGAGAACATCTAAGAAGAAATGCAGTCATTTTATCTGTTCCAGATGCCTTAAGAAAGAGCATGGACTGAGGGCAAATGGAAATGACCATCCTGGATCTCCTAGATCTGGAAGAGTTTGGCCCAAGGCTAAGTAAACTATTGCTGGACAATGAAGGAATTCATGTAACCATTCTGACGTGTCCACCTCCACCTCCATCTCAACCCCCCAGCATGGCAGCAATGTAGTAAGACATTGAGAAGGTGAAATAAAAGAAAACTAGAGTGAAGGAAGACTTGATGATGATCAGATCTGAGGATTTCATTAGTAGTAACTCTTATGTTTACCACTATTTAAAAAATACTGTTATTAATGTCAGATCTCACAGATAGGATGTAGGTATGGGAAGGATACAATTATAGTTTCTGTTGTGTCTTAGTTTCAGGAGCAGATAAAAGTCTCCTTATTGTTTGACTCATTTCAGCTCCTTTGAGTCATTTTCTCTTCATGTCAGCAAATGGAAGCATTAATACATGTATGTATAGAATAGTATTGGGAGGAATATATGTGACATTATCAGAGGATGTCATTCTTGGTGATTTCATCTGACTTGTCACAAATAGCTGATGCCAGGATTCTTAGTGTCATTTTGCTATGTTGTCATAAAATGTATAAGCTTTATACATATGAAAATAGGATCTAGGAGCTATAATAAGGTCCAAACCACCTGCCTTAAGCAACCTCCTATGTTCTTTCTTCTCATTTACATCTTCATTAGTCTATCCAGCCCCCCATTGATCACTTTTCTACCCCTTTCCCCTTCTCCTCAGTTACCCCATGCTGTAGGTTTTGGCTTCCACTGACTGAAGACTTGATCACTGAGTCCAACTCAGCAGAGCCATCCTCAACATGGACACCTGGCTGTTTAGGCACAGGAAGGCAAGTTGGGATTATCTTTGGAAAGAAGAGAGAATAAGAAGATGCATGTAGAGACTAGTGTAAATCAATATATTAGAAAGGAATTGTCCCCAAATAATTATGACTCTGACCCGATCCACAAATGCCATTTAAAAGTTAAGATCATTGGAGCACCTGGGTGGTTCAGTCGGTTAAGCATCCTACTTTAGCTCAGGTTATGATCTCAGCAGTTCATGAGTTCGAGCCCTGGGTCAGGCTCTGGAGCCTGTTTCAAATTCTGTGTCTTCCTCTCTCTGCCCCTTCCCCACTCACACTGTCTGGCTGGCTGGCTGGCTGTCTCTCTCTCTCTCTCTCTCTCTCTCTCATAAATAAATAAACATTAAAAAAATTTTTTTTAAGTTAGGATCATTGACAAACTATAAAAGTATATCAGTAGCTCTATGACAATGGTGACTTCTGGAACCCCTGAGACTATTTTTATTTGCTAGATGGTGTGGATCTCTTATTGACAAAGTTGGAAATAAACTTAAAAATGTAAATGAGAAAGTATGAGGTCTCAATTGCAGTTAGCAAGGAATAGGCATCCAATCACTAGAGAGGATTGCAGTGGTTTAGCATGTGTCTGCTCATTCTTTGACATGCCCCTCACCAAGAGATGGAGCCTTTGTCCTTTTTCCTAGAATTTGAGCTGGCTTTAGTGACTTGCTCATAACCAGCAAAATCCAGACAAAGTGGTGCTGTGTGACTTCTTAGACAATGCAGTTTCCTTTACCTGCTAGTTTGCAGTCCTGAGCTACAGGTAGATAGTCCACCTCTTTTGAGGTTCCCATACTGTGAGGAAGCCAAATCAAGTGTGGACACTCAAGTCACATGGAGAAGCCAAATATAAGTAAATATGGCAGCCCCAGTGGAGTGCCAACAATAGCATCAACGACCAGCCATGTGAAGAGAGTCATGTTGGAAGTGTGTCCCAGTCAAATCATCAGACACGAAATTATAGGCCAAGCCTAACACCAGACCACAACTATATGAGAGGCCCCAGCTGAAAACCTCCTAGACAAGTCCTTCCTAAATTTCTGACTTGAATCCTTGAGCACAATAAAATGGTTGTTGTTTTAAATTGCTAAATTTAGAGTACTTTTGTGCAATACTACCAAGTAGGACAATGGTGCTTAGTGACCATCATTGGATGTGTCCAACAGGTTTTTCCGGCTACTCTGAAGTCCTTTCTAAGTCCTATATAAGCCTCCCCTCTCCAGTCATCTCTGCAGGTGGTCCAGACATTGTTTCTGCACATGTCACCTACAAGTGAGTCTTGGACCTGGAAGGACTACCACTATACCATTAGAAGACAGAAATGCCATTCCCAGAGCCAGATATGAATAAGCAACTCCAGTTGACAATGTACCCATCTTGTTTTCCAAGAAGACTTGGCAGCACCAGATTCATTGATATTGAATCTAGCTCTCCGGAGGTAAAAGCCATTATCACTTTGGTCATTTTTTGAACAAACAGCAATTCTAGAATTTAAATAATTTATACATTTTTATATCCTATTTTTGTTGGTTTTTAAAATGAACTATTCTCTTATTCGTGCTGAGATATACATTTTTTTGTATAAGATGCTTGCAGCTTTTCATTTTTGGTTTGTTTCAATGTGGGATTTCTTTTTAATTTTCTGTTTTTACTTAAATATAAGAGTGGAATACTAATATATTTCAGTTTATTTCTGCAACATCAGGAATTTTTAAAAATTAAAGATTTTGTTTTTTCAGCTTTTGTTGAAGTATAATTGACAAATAAAATTGTAAGATATTTAAAGGGTACAATGTGGTGATTCCATATATATGTACATTGTGAAAGAAGTCCCCCATTGAGTTAATTATGCATCCATCACTTCACATAGTTATCTTTTTTCCCCCATGAGAACATTTAAGTTCTGCTGTCTTAGCAAATTTCAGTTATACAATACAATGTTATCAACAATAGTCACCATGTTATTCATTAGATCCTCAAATCTTATTCATTTTAGAACTGAATGTTTGTCTCCTTTTACTAACCTCTCTATATCTTCCCATATTCCAGCCTCTAGCATCTACTTTTCTACTCATTATTTCTAGGGGTTAATTTTTTTCTTTTTTTAGATTTCACGTGTAAGTGAAAATTAAAAGGAAACATATGGCTAAGATTTTAATAATCTTCACGATTAGATTTTTTAATTCAATAATATTTTACTTAAGATTTTCAGAGCCCATGGGGCACCGGTGGCTCAGTCGGTTAAGCATCCGACTTCGGCTCAGGTCATGATCTCGCAGTCCGTGAGTTCGAGCCCTGCGACGGGCTCTGTGCTGACAGCTCAGAGCCTGGAGCCTGTTTCGGATTCTGTGTCTCCCTCTCTCTGACCCTCCCCGTTCATGCTCTGTCTCTCTCTGTCTCAAAAATAAATAAACGTTTAAAAAAAAAAAAAGAATCTGATGAGCACTATGGACACCTTCCCTCAGAATAATAAACATCTGCACATTGACCCAAAATTTTGCATAGTTTTTGAAAAAAATTACAGACCCTTTAAAATCTATTCACGTGCAACCTAGAGTTCCATAGACTCCAGGTTAAAAACCTCCATTGATTAGGCCAAGGAATGAAAGGAAACAACAGGTTATAAAGTAATGGGTGGGAAAGAATTTAATTTAGAGAAATAAAATATAAATATCATATACCCTTCCATCTTTTGGAAGGGCATCCTGTTTAGCTGAGCAAGATGTTCAGAATGGAGAAACATGCTTTCATAGGAAGGGCTCCTCACCTGGCCAGCAAGGTCAGTCATGTCAATCATGGAGACGAGTGAGGAACAGAGGTCACAATCAGTTTCCTCTCATTCTAAATTAAAGTTATAGTCCAAAGCATCCAACTCTACTTTTTGAAACTATTGATGTTCATATCCATCCAATGCATTAACCAATGCTACTTTTTTGCAAGAAGAATAGATGAAAACTTTGTGGACTGGTTAAAAATAAATGCTGATCTATAAATATAGTCAACTGATCTTTGACAAAGACAAAGGCAATACAATAGAACAAAGATAGTACTTTCAACAAATGGTGCTGGAACATCTATATGCAAAAAGAAAAAAAAAGACACTAGAAACAGACCTTATACCCTTCACAAAAATAACTCAAATGGATTATGATCTAAATATATGGCCTATATAATGACCTAAATATAAAACAGGAAACTATAAAGTTCCTAGAAGATAACTAGGAGAAAAGCTATATAACCTTGGGTTTGGTGATATCTTTTTCAGTACAACACCAGAGACACCACCCAGGAAAGAAATAATTGATAATCTGTACTTCATTAAAATTAAAGTTTTCTGCTCTGCAAAAGACAATATCAAGAGAATTATAAGACAAGCTATAAACTAGGAGAAAATATTTGCAAAAAACACATCTGGTGAAGTGCTGTTACCCAAAATATATTAAAAACTCTTTAAACTCAACCATAAGAAAGCAAACAACCCGATTAATAAATGAGTCAAAGACCCTAACAGACACCTCAATAATGAAGATATACAGGTAACAAGTAAATGTATCAAAAAATGTTCCATGTCATATATTATCAGGGAAATACAAATTAAAAACCATAAGGTTCTATTACATACCTATTAGAATGGCCAAAGTCCAGAACATGGGCAACTCCCAAAGCTGGCCAGGACACAGAACAACGGGAACTCTCATTCATTGCTGATGGTAATGCAAAATAGTACAGCCACTTTGGAAGACAGTTTGGCGATTTCCTCAGAAGTTAGACATACTCTTACCATACAATCCAGCAATCACACCCCTTGGCATTTTCCCAAAGGAGTTGAAATTTACGCCCACAAAAACCTGCACATAAATCTTTATAGCAGCTTTATTCATTATTGCTAAAACTTGGAAGCAACTAAATGCCCTTTAGTAGGTAAATGGATAAACTGTGGTACAAGTAGACAAGGAATATTATTCAGCACTAAAAGGCAATGAGCTATCAAGCCATGAAAAGACATAGAGAAACCTTAAATGCATATTGCTAAGTGAAATAAGATAATCTGAAAAGGCTGCATATTGTCTGATTCCAACTCTATGACATTCTGAAAGAAGCCAAACTATGGAGACAATAAAAAATTTATGGTTACCAGGGGTGGAGGGAAGTGGAGGAGGAGATGAACAGGCAAAACAGAACTTTCAGGGCAGTGGAAATATTCTATATGCTATTATAATGGTGAGTATATGTCCTTATTCATTTGTCCAAACCCCTGTAATAATCGACACAAAGAATAAATTTTAAGGTGAACTATGGGCTTTGGGTGATTATGATGTGTTAGTATAGATTCACCCTTTGTTAAAAAGAAAAAAAATGTACCACTCTGGTGAGTTATGTTGATAATGGGGGAGGTCATCTATGCATGAGTGGAAGCAGGGGTAAGTTGGAAATCCCTATACCTCCTTTTCAATTTTGTTGTAAACCTAAAACTGTTCTAAAAAAAAAAAAAGACTTAAATTCTGACCAGCTGATATTTCCTGAAGCTTATCTTCAGGATTGAATGATCAAATGGGAAAAATTACTTTTAAAGCTTCATCTTTGGTGAAATAGAAGAAAACTGTGCTCTCACATTTCCTCATGGCACCTAGAAATGAATCATTCCTGAACTTTATGTTCAGGAAGTAGCCTCTGCTATCCTGCCTTGATGAGGCCATTTTCAGGCAAGACTTTGGAGAGAAGAGTTGTATGTAAATCAAAAACAGCTGGGCCTGGGCTAACCCCCTCCTGGGCCACATGGAAAGCATAAATTGACTTAAGACAGGAGTAATTGTAAAATATGGAGGGCAACAGCAAGGAGAAAAGGGATGCCTCTGTAAAAATTAAGCAGACCTCAGCACTCAGTTCAGAGAAAATGACTTGTTTCAAAATTAACTCTCCATTGAAGCTATAAGAATAGCCTCCTTTGAGAGATAACTTACCTGAGGAAAAATAAGTAAAAACAAATGTCGTGAATGTTGAATGAGGAACATACTCTTCTTAAGTCAAATTAATGCTTTAACCTTTTCTCCCTTAGTCCTTTTAGGTTTTCTCTACGTATTTTCCTAGCAGGGTATAACTATTAGAAAGCAGTAAATTAATTAGGAAAGAATAGGTTCAGAACAAAAAAAATAAAAGCCAATTTCAAATATAACTCATAGGCACTATGGAAACAACAGGGTTTATTTAACCTCTCAGAGACCAACATAAGGCAGCACCACTGCTTTTGTTGAGCATCAAAAGGACCCAACCTAATAGCTACACACAGGTTAAGAGGCTCATCTCAAAATCAGCAAGCAGTTCATGGAAAGTGACCCCCAACCTCTGACATTCTATGAGTGTGGTTGCAGATACAAAGGAAAAGCTCTCTTTTTATTAAATAAACATTATAAAAGAGACTGATTTTTGTACAAAGCTGATGTAAACTGAGGGTCTTTCTTTTCAAGATTGTGAAGTGCTAATATCCCTATTAAACTATTTTAGGGATCCTTGATTCCATGCCTGATGTAAGCCCACAGCAAGAATTTAAGAGGTTTTGGAACATTTATTAAGAAAAGTAATAATAGGGGCTCCTGTGTGGCTCAGTCAGTTAAACGTCTCACTGTTGATTTCAGCTCAGGTCATGATCTCACGGTTTGTGAAATCGGGCCTCTCATGGGGCTCTACACTGACAAAGCGGAGCTTGCTTGAGATTTGCTCTCTATCCTTCTCTCTCTGCCCCTTCCCTGCTCTCTTGCTCTCTCTCAAAACATATAAACATTAAAAAAAAGAAAAGTAATAATAATGGGGACATAGAAGTTACATATGTTTTTTTTAAACCAGAGTTTCTCAGCCAGTATGTCAAAGCACATAGCTATACCTCGCATGGGTGATGGGGTAGAGATGATTCCAATAGCCTTGGGGTACCCATGGTCCCCAGTCTCCTCTGACCCTTGGAAGTCTCTCCTGCTTGCTTTCAGATGCCAAACAAATGCTATCATTTTATATGTACACAGGGATATGGAAAGAAACCAAACAAGACAACAGATGAGTAACTCATGGTTCCTCCAAGAGATATAAGCAAGAGTAGAAGAGCCCATTTTCATATTTTTATGATACCCTTTATGGGTCTTAGAACCCCTGATCAGCACAATTTGATTTCTATGTTCCCAAAAGATTAGAATTCTCCACATTCTCAGCAGCTAAGTCTATGTCTTACAGCACAAATTCAAACTAAATATCAACACATCTCCAAAAAATATTAACTTATATGGATGATCCATTAACTTTTTACAGTAAATCTCTTTACTTTAATGGTCATCTCTTGATCTGACAACTTTAGTAATTAGGCTGAATATTCCTTTGTTTCCTTATTCAATATGGCCATCTGAGAAACATGTTTCTATTTTGTCACTGGTGTATCTATCCTAGAAACACCAAGAAATAAGATAGATGATTTAAGCTGGGTACTGAAACACTAAAATGGGTACCATGAAAAAGAATTTTTTCTAATTATTTTATTTATTTGTTTGTTTATTTGTTTGTTTGATTAGAGTAGGCTCCACACCCAGGGTGGAGCCCAGTGTGAGGCTTGCACTCATATCCCTGAGATCAATACCTGA